GTTCCGCAATATTAAGCACGTTTCAGATCGTTGGCGTGGTGAGAGCCACGTATTTATCTGGACTCTGAATCTTTACTTAATCAAACAATTGAAAAAGTCAGTAGCACCACGGACACCAAGGGACTGGTTGCAATACTGTTTAATTTGGTTCCTTTGGGGTCACTACTACTGGTCACAACCGGTCTTTCATACATCAATTTAGATAAAAATAATAATAATCCGGCAACATCGCTGTTGAATTTACCCCAACACTGACTAAAGTTTATGTCATTATCACAGATATGAGTTAGAAGTTGTACTCTCGTTGATTACAGCTTGTGCTCTTCTCAATAGCCACAAGAGCAAGACTCGCCATTTATCATCTTGTAGAGATTCATTTAACCGGGAGCATCGTACAACACCATATCATCCATATTTGTGAGGAATAAGCTTGGATGACTCACTCATACAAACTGATCTCTATATTATCCAAAACGTGACACTTTCAACTGGCTTGTATGCACCAGCAACCAATGTGTATGAATATAAGTAGTTGATTTATTGCACATGTGAACATTGGAGTCCAGAGCACATCTTTCACGGACGTACTCATATTTAAGGAGTTACTGTTAGCTATCTGTCCGAAATTCACGTAATTATTAGTACAAAGATGTCAAAAGTATTTGAAGTTTGACAACACCTTAATTAGTAACATCTTTCATAATCGAAACGTGCCAACCCAGTCAAATCAGAAGTTTGAAGCGACGAGGTTCGAATATATATTTGACAATATAGATATATCGAGAAGTAACTAATATAAGCTGGCTAATGGCTGTAGGGGATGTGAAGTATGTTGTATTCACTGTGATCTGATGGGGATGTGTGACCTCGCAACTTCAGCTAGGCGAGTCCATTAAAACTAATGCGGTCAACATCAAATATCGAAAACTTAAAGATCTATTAATTTTGGGGATTTGTTTGTCACTACAAGTATTTTTAGGTAATTAATGACCTTTTGATAACGGTTCATATGTATTGGTAGTTTTATTAATTCCTACCACGGCTAAGCAATAACGAGGTAGAGAAAATCTTTCGTTAATAAATAAATAGTATTAAACTTGACAACCAACTGGACAACTAGTTGAAGCTCTTCCTCTTCGCGGTTAGCTATCTTAAATCACCAACATAGATGCTCTATTTAGAATGACTGAGGGCTAACTAGCACCGAAGTCATACATTAGGGTTGGTATCTAACATTGATCACCCATTCGTCCTATACAAGTACTGTGGCTATCTTGATGACCATGCATCACAAACAACGTTGTTACAGAAATATGTTGATAGGAATAGATACAAGGAAGAGAGTGCGACCACCATCGCATGGGCCAGTCAGTGACGTGCAATTAATTGATGCATGTTGGTTGTTCTCAACCTTGACGAGAATCAGCAATTTGTCGGTCGTTCCGTGACCCAATCGCCAGATGATTCGGCAAGGACTCAATGACATCCCACTATCCCTACACTACTCTACCACCAGATTCGATGGCCGTATTAAAATTAACAAATTGACTGAAACACTAGTTGGAATTCTTCCCCACCTCCGTGGAATGCAAATGCATTTGTAAATCAACTTATATGGATAGCAGGCCGGCATAAACGTTAACTGTCTTTCTAATTCAAACCAAAGTTTACACCACTGTCAACATTGATACAATATTGATTGTCCTTCTATTTGACAGCACAAAAACCTTGAACTCCCCATAAGTTAAGCTGTTAACCAAAGATCATTACTATTCATCTTAATGTGACTTGTTCAAATAGCTTTATACTAAATCATTCTTCATAATGATAATTCTTTTCTGCTCGATGATTAAGTAATATTAACGTGGATTTTCATTTTACGCGTGTTAAAAATTAAATCAAACATTTTTGAAATTGCAACATGTATTTTTCAATTAGTCGCTGCCGCCTTCTTTATGATTTAACTTTCAGTTTTTCAATACACAGTGGATTCTTATTATTCTTTTGGTAACCTGTGACTTGTGACAATCCCACTGGATTTGATATCGAATCAACGTTACGATGATTGTGGCGGGATAGTAGCGTAGAAGTATTGGTTCTTAATCACGTGTCCTCTGAAGCTAAACATATAGCTACTGGGAAGATTTACATTCAACGTATGACACTAAATAAAGGTCGGCAATAGTGGACGCGTCAACAGGGGATCGAAATGACATGGTTCGGTCATGTGGTTTTGTGATAATAATCGCTAACAAACCAAATGAGGCAACATATACTTAGATGCAAGCAACGATCGAAGAAGTGATACATATAAGACAGGCCATGGGAATGGTCATGGAAGAACATATATGAAGGAATTTTTTAATGTACTCTCACAGTACTCTCACAAAGTGGGTTGTAAAGCCCTCCATAAGTTTGACACTTGAGAAAGAGAATACTCAGGCGTTCGTGAATGAACGTGAGAATATTGATGGACGGTCTTCTTTCGAACTTGAAAGAATATAGTGATGGAATGCTGTAACATCAGCGACCGACTCACTATTGTCACCAGCCCTTTGGACAAAATGATATAGTTGCCATACATATGGCCACAATACTGGGCTGTAAAACGATGATAATAATCATGGAAATTGAATGCTCGTCTCTTAGAAGTGTTTGCTAAACAACCCATTAGCACGAAATAGTGAAGGATTCTGGAAAAATTTGGTCTGATTTAACACTGCTAAGGCACATTATCTCCACCAGATCTTCTAAATTAAAAGTGTCGACACATTAGCGAGTCACAAATACGTCACGAAACTTGATATCAAACACAATATTTATCCTATATAAATTGTGAAACTACGAAGTGACAGACGATACTTAAGATAATAGGCTGTTATATAAAAACCGAAACGAGGCAGACATTATGACTGATTACTTGAGAAAAGCTTTTGTACATGTTATACCTCCCAAAACCCAATATCCTAAAGTAACAACATAAAATTTAGTTTCCCTATACATAAGATGGGATAAAATGAATCACTCTGGCCACGGCAATTTCAGCAATACAGAATGAGTTCAGTAATAACTGCTACTTGATATGTTCATCAGTCACTATTTATTTTCAGTGTAAACCAACCACAGAGCATCTACCATGTACTTTGTGCTATTCTTGATGGATTGCGTCAACATATAGAGACAAATTGCAGAGGTAATTGATACACAAGTAACATTTTGACTATATTTGGTTTGCATGTAGCCTGATGATACGTTGTGTACTGAGAGTGTGTGGGAAGAGACTCTGAAAGATGGATTAACGGAATTCACATAAAACTGGTGGGATCCATAGTTATAAAGAATTGAGAACAACTTGTAAGATTAAAGTTCCGTTTTCTATTTCGATTATTGTAGGTTGCTAGCATCCTTTCGACAATGATTTCTGCATTGAGATGTAAATAAAAAAATAACCGAAACCCAACTTATCAAAACTGATAGTCACCAGTACGTTTACGAATTTTGAAATTTTGTCAGTAATTTTTAAAGTAAAGGTTTCGTATAGGGAAATAAAATAAAGTTATTTTAACATATGCGGATGTACTATTTGTTGCTAAGTGGGCGTTATGAATTAAACGGGTTGGCGCGCCCTGTGAATCTGTGAGGAAAACACATGGGTGTCCTTGTAAGACGGTTTTGTGTAATTGATGGGTATTTTAATTATGTAAGAAGTCAATAAAATGGTTGTTTTTGGGAATAGCTACCCAATGTTGCCTTGTATCTACACTGACATGCTTCTGTACCAATCAAAGTTATGGTAGGAACGTAGGGCACATTTTTTATAAATACGTGAAACTTCATGGTATTTATTCTTTCATGCTTACCGTCTTGAAAATTAGTTGCAATCCCAAGGTAGACTAGGGAAAATTGCTCTTAAAGGTCATTCAATAGGAGAGCTATGGGTTTCAACTTAGATTTTTGTGTCATTTTAGTGATGCGTCGAAGTTTCATCATTCGTAATAATGATCGTTAATAATTCTGAATACTGATGTAATATGAGGTTCCAATGATCGTGAATTGAGTATCACTCGGATCTTTGTTTCAAGTTAGTTCACAAGGCATCCTAATTAGGACATAATAACACCCAAATTGTTATTAAAGTTACGGAATGCCAGTACTAGTTCACCTCGCGTTCTGCGATACGATAAGAGAAAAAACTTCAGGCATTCTAAATGCTCGCCTTAAGGGAGTTGGGAAAGTTCATTCACTAACTTTTCCCCCGCACAATGAACACCCTCTAGTGTGTCAGTATGCTCAATGAGACTTAGACCAGCTGCTTGGACACAATACACTAGGTGTGGTCTTACATATGTGGGATATAAAATCCAAAGCATTTAAATACTCAGTAGAGTGGCCATAACTCCCAGAAGCCTTTAGCGGCTGCTTCATTGCACTGCGCAGTTATGGCACTACTTACTGTTACCCCTAAGTCCTTGTGTCTTTACAAGCATGAAAGTGATGTGCCGTTGATAGTATGCTCGTAAGCGTTGTCGTGTCTAATAAGCATTGGCACGCTTTCTAGAATCAGCTTCTAACCCTTACATTTGGGACCCTCTAATTGATTCATCTCGGTCAGCTTGAAGATCAAGATCTACCTCACCACTTATTTTTCTCCAGATTTTGACATCATTTGTAGACAGCAGTGTTGACGAACCAACCAGCCTTGGCATTTCGTTGAAGTAGAGAAGGAAAAACAAGGTAACTAATATGATGCCTTGGAGTACACCACTTCTGACCGGCTTCCATTCAAATAGTGTCCCATTTACACTCACCCGCTATTTTCGGCTACAGAGAGAGCTTCTTATCCATCCTTGTAAGGGACCTGTTATTAAAAGTCTCGAAAGCTTTTGAATAAACCCTAAGTGAGAAACTTTACCTAATGCTTTACTAAAATCTATAAATATCACATCTAAATATAATCTGCTGCCCAATACTCTCGCGTGGAAACTTATTCCGAAACCTGTGTTGCTGAGAAGTTAACAGGTTGTGTAATTCTATGTGACTCAATAACTCAGCTCAAATTATCTTTTCAAGTAACTTACCTACTATTCTGGTTAGACTGACAGGTCAACAGTTTGATACGATCAGTTTCTGACCATCTTTAAATATAGTGCTAACTACAGTGTCTTTTCACTCTCTAGGATGTTGAGTGTGGGTTAAGGGACATGTTAACGAGTATCGCGAGTGACCTTGAAATGTCTACGAGAAATGACAGCAGTTGGGGATGTAACTCATCAAGACCACGTATCTCAAACCTATGGTATCATGCTTGTTGCTTCCACATCGTGGGTTATAAGCCGACGCTGGAACTGATTGGATAAAGCTGTGGGGTGGTTAGTGTATGATATGATTTCGTGGTGTTAAAGGAAGCTTTATAGGACTGGTTTCTTTTGGTTCTTTACGACTTTTTGGTTGGGCTCCTAGAGATGGTGTAACTCGGTGGCTAGAGGCGTTATCCGACATGGCTCAGAAGAAAATACCAGTGACGGCTCTGTTATGGTTTTCATTTTATTTCTTTAATAATGGTGAGAAGGACATTTAGTTGAAACAATTCATCGTGATTACACTTTTTAAAATTGATTTGCTTCTCTTACTGCAATCTATTCTTATTCGCTTATTCCTATTCATTTATTTGTTTCTGATTACACTTCTCCAATCCTCTTTGATTTAATCCGCTTTTTATAAAATAATCATCGATGTTTGTTTTCTGATACACCAACTAATATTATTTTCATTCATCCTGATTTCCGTTTCTTTCCTAAATTACCTTTATTGTTATGTTGATGTGTGGTGTGAGAACTTGAACTAATGCATATTTATTCCAGGTTTTACGGTGTCTTTGACGAACTGACAAATATGTGGCTGAGTACTGAGTAAGCAAGCTTTCTCTTAGTTACTAAGTTTGGTCACATCCACCAGTTTGTTTATGCGTCAAAGATCCGAGTTACCTTTTTTCAATCAGTGAGTGAAATTCCTAATCGTTCTACATAATATGGTTCTTTTTTAATAAGCAAAACTCAGATAGATAGGTAGATGTTTACATGGCTTTCCGGATCCGTATTTTGGTCTTGTAGAGCTTCTGCCGGGTGATTTTAATTTTGAATTGCATAGCGATATGTTTATGCGCTAAACTACTATTTTGCAACTTCAATAAAGTAGATGAGATTTCTTTTACCTGCTTCAATGACTAAGGTTAGAAGTTCAATTTCGTCATAAAATCTTTGTTGAAGATGACCCTCATAAAATTAAAAATACATTTAAATTTATCACATATATCGATTACGATAATTATAATTTTCGAACTAACTAATTGTCAGTAAATACAGATCACAGTGAAAATGAATTGGAATTCTATAAAGCAATGTAACGAAAGTTTGTTGGAATTTGACCGTACGTTCATCTTACATCAATATCGATTTTCCTTATAAACCATATTCGAGGATTTCGCATCCTCAACAGAAATTTTATCAAGGGATATCTCGTCATAAATCGTAGTTCTCTTTTCGTTTATGGTTTATTTACGGGAAAATACACTGCGAAATCAGTTGCATAAACCCTACCCTGTCGAATAACTATTGTTTCAAGGTTAATTGCTATTTTCATTTTAGATATTCCTGGACACTGATCAATACTTGATTATTGTGGTTTCTTTTTGTAATGATTTAGCTAATTTACTAAGTACATATATGTTAACTTCTGTTTATGATGAGTGTTCTGTGTCTGGCGTCATATAATGTTCGGCTGCTCAAATCAAATTAGGTAGGACAGTGTCCGGGCTTGTTACTTAAGAATAGAATACTAAGTACTAGATTCGCTAGTCCATCTATCTTCCATTTCTTTGTATAATCTATAAATTATTCAGTTATCTTCATTATAAAAGCCTATTGTTCAGTATTTGGTTTTTTATATAAGATGCTTTATCTACTTTTGAATTGCAGAGATATGTTTTACAATCTCCTATTTCCGTTCAACTCCATTCTCTTACCCTAAACTTGTCGTCGCAGATAGAAAAAGCATGCTGTCAACCTGATTCTACATTCTCGAGATTCCTGTCATCTACTCATCGGACACTACTAGCTAATCTGTTTTTATGTCGTCACTCAGGAACATTAATCGTCCGTCGTTTACGTGAAAAATATTTCAGCTTACACCCAAACATAAAGACAGATTCTCGGTTGTTTATAACTCAGAAAGTTTTACTTGGAGGGTCTTTAATTTCATTTGCTCAAGACAAAATTACTGATGAAGAGGTCCTAACGTAAGTAAAGCTAGTGACTATTCTCATTTCTGTTTTATCTTTAGCACTTTGAAAAGTTTTTCAATAAATGGTAATTCAAATAATTCCAACAAAATTAGTCCATTTGTTGTTGTGGAAGATGATACTAGTGAAGAGGATACCCATTCACCAGTTGAAGATCGTACAAGAAACGAGTGTTCTGAATCATGGGACCCACCACTGACTTTAATGATAAGGGAGATACGTAAAACATATTTAAATCGGACATCAATGTTTTCACGTCCTACAACGGAGCCAGTTGTCGTTGGTGATTCTTGTATATCTGTTTGTGATACAGATCCTCATGTAAATGAAATTTCAAATGAAGATAACTTTACTGCGTCTCTTTCGTCGTTGTTTATGGATTTAAATATTCAGCCAGATGGAACAGGTTTTGTTGATGAGTCGTGGGAACTTGTTTATGATCGAACAAATATGCGCGTTTGGCGTAGACCACTGATGGTACCTCAAATAAATGGTGAATGTAACCCCCCAAAATCAAATGTCAAGTACGAGTACCGAGGTGAGTGGTTTAGAATAGGTTCTACTTGTTTTAGAGTAGTATTTTACTGACTAGTTTTTATTAATTTTTGCTTATGGAGGCTAACAGTATTCGTTAGTCAGTCAGTCAGCTACAACGTAGGACCAGGCACATATATGCATAGGTCCAAGTTGCCATACCGCATTAGCACAGCAAGATGAACACCGGATTCATAAAAGTAGTTAATTCAGAGGTAATATATAAAAGAAAGACTGCATATAAGGATATGGTACAGGAAGAAAGATTTAGTTCGTACAAAGAAAGATATGAAGAGATTTTAATCTCTTAGTTTAAGGGAAGACAGCGAGTGTATGCACCGACGTCATTGTGATCGATTCTGAGCCATGTCACCAAGAGTCTCCAACCATTGGTTACGAAAGTCACGCGCACCCCAACCAAGTAGTCTGCATTCACCACCATGGCACAGACCAGAAGTTAGTGTCTTCAAACACTGATGCCACGTTTTGGTTTGGCCGCCCCTTACTTTCTTCCAACCATCCCGAACGCCTGTTAGCATTGCACGTCGTGGTCATCGGTGTTCAGACATACGTAGCACGTGGCCCAACCATCTCAGTCGATGAAGATTCACAACCTCATCAACTGATTTACCATCATTCCCTAATACCCTGCGTTTAACCTCACTATTACTTACCCGGTGATCCCATCAGACGCCAGCAATATTTCTAAGGCATCTGTGGTCAAATACTAGTAGCTTACGAGTGTCTTCAACTTTTGGAGGCCATGTTTCGCTGCCGTAAAGTAGAACAGAACGGACTACCGCACAGTATACTCATCCTTTAATTGATAGACAGATATCTCGCATTCGCCATAGATGACGTGAGTTGGTAAAAGCCAAACGAGCTTTCCGAATCCGTGCTGAGATTTCGTCCGATACCAACCCATTAGAGCTGATCAGACTTCCAAAATAAGTGTTGTCGACGCGTTCGACTTCTTCACTCCCTATCCTTAGTTCAGGTGTTGACGCAGGCCAGTCCTGAAGCAACGACATGCATTTAGAGGGAGAGAAGCGCATTCCAAACATTCTGGCATTGTTGCTTAGTGCTACCAGAAGACTGCATTTTGTCAGCGTCTTCACCAAACAGGACTATGTCATCTGCGTATTCTGAGTGGATAAGTGGACCTCCTAGAAGTAGATCAATACCCGATAATTCAGTGGACGAGAATGTTATTTCCATCAATGTGTCTATGATGAAGTTGAACAAAAATGGAGACAGTGGACAACTTTGTTGGACACCACTTGAGGTTGCGAAATCAGATGACAGTTCGCCATAAGCTCTGACTCGACTGGTAGTGTTCTTGTAAAGAGCCTTCACAAGGTTTCTGTACTTCTGAGGTACGCCTTTCAATGACAGACACTGCCACAATCTCGTGTTATACGGAGTCAAATACCGCTTTTAAGTCAAGAAAGACCACCATTGTCCTACGCCGATAAGTATGCCTGTGTTCTAGAACCTGACGAATGGTGAATATGTGGTCGATGCAGCCACAACCAGGTCTGAAGCCAGCTTGATTCTCTCGTGTTTGCCTATCATGAGTCTTAGTTAGGTGTCCTATAATTATTGAGGCTAGTATTTTAGATGCTATATTAGTTAAACTAATCCCTCTGTGGTTGTTACAGGATGATTTAACCCTTTCTTATATATTGAGACGATAAGTGATTGTGACCAGTCAAATGGGATAACGTCCAACTCCCAGAGTTTTTTCTAAAATATTAGTCAACCTAATCGCTAAAATTGGACCACCATCCTTAAAGACATCTGAAACCAATCCATCTGGACCAGCTGCCCTTCCTCGTTTCAGATTAACTATAGCTTTTTAAACTTCAGTTAGATTGGGGGACCTACTTCAATGTTCCATTCACACTGTTTGAGAATGGAGTGTAGTTATAAAGTAGCTGAAGGCCAGCTGAACTGTTCTCTGAAATGTTCCGCTCATCGTTCTAAACGTCTGGACTGGGAGCAGATGAGTGTCGTCTTTTTATGAACTAATCTCACTTACATTTAACTTATTAATTCCAGTTTCTTTTATGAGTCTGAAGAGTTGTTTTGTGTTCCCTATAGCCGCCGCCTTTTCCATCTCTTTTGCTTTCGTTGCCCATCACTACTCACGGTCGTTCCTTAGACTTTTGCTTAACCTAGATCTGATTTCTTTACGCTCTTCATCGTGTTCAGAGCCTGATGGGATGAGTTTACAAGAATCAGTTTAATAGACCTTGAGGAAATCCATTGGTTCTTTGTAACCCTGTGGTGTTTAAATCACTGATAGATATCACTGCTGTTTCCACAGCTGTTTGTATATCTTTCCATGCAACATTTGGGTCAGCCTCGTTTTCAGAACTACCTAAGTGTGACCTTAGTTGTTCCTGGGACCCACTTTTGGTTTTCTCGTTACTCAGTTCAGTTATAATGGGTCTTTTTAGTGTGACTTTTCTGCGTCCAGTGAGGCGCACGCAGATGCGTGCCCATATTAGGGCGTGGTCGGAGTCCAAGCAGGTACTCCAGAATGAGCGACAATCTTCTACCGACCCTCTCCAGCGATGACTGATGGCAATATGGTGTATTGGGATCCATCGTTGGTTTGGTGTAGGGGATCGCCATGTTAGACGATGTCTCTCCTTATGCTTAAAATTTGTGTTTGCTAAAAATAAACGATTGTCTGAGAATAGTTGTAGCAGACGATCACCATTATCTGTTCGCCGTGTCGGAATACTAAAATACCCACCTAAATGCCTTTCTGTTTGGTTTAAGCTACCTATCTGAGCATTAAAGTCACCTGCTACGAGTACTATGTCTGAGCGTTTAGCTTTCTTAAGAAGTTCGGACAGCTTTCTGTAAAATTCGTCTTTCACTTCATCTGAGCTGCTGTCAGTGGGAGCGTAGGCAGAAACGACGAAAAGGCAACGACGTGTGTCCCTATTCTTCCGAGTTCTTACGGGTTCGTTCAGCCGAACAGCACATAGACGAGTGTTGACGGGGATCCACCCTAACAGTGCTTGTTCGGCCCTCATGCTTAGTGCTATACCTACTTCTGCCAGTCCATGAGAACTGGCCATCGGGTCACCAGATACACAGAGGGCATATCTCGTCGGCTCTCCGTTTTGGCAAGATGAGGCCAAGTGAATGACTACACTAGGATCCTGTATGCGTGTTTCGGAGACAAAACGTACATCAATAGTACGAGATTCTACGGTTTTAGCTAGGGAGCTCTGCTGGCCGATTTGACCTAAGGTTCGTACGTTGAAGGCTGCAATGTGTAGTTTGGAGCGAGGTTTCAGTAGACTTGAGACAGTGTTTTGAGCACTATAATCGTTGGCTATGGTGACACTTGTGGAAGAAGCCGAAAGAGGAAATTTAGAGTTGAAAGTTGATGTAGGAGGAATAATAGGAATTGAAGCGGGAGGTTGATTATGAATACAATGGTCTTGAGTGCTGTTAGAGGTATGAGGGCGATTATCAATTCCCCGTTGCCCACACCGTGGAATGGTTCTTCTGGAGGTACCTGAAAAGGAAATTGGATTAAAGGTGGTCTTAGTGACCTGAGAGCATGACCGCAGTGCCCAAGGGACAACTGATTGAGGTCGGTCACACATGACCTTTTTATGAGTTATTTTCTTGTTAGCTCGTACTTGTTGAGACCTTACCGCCGCAGACAGATATCCGTGGGATAAGGCGAGGTGTGCATTTTTAGAGTCAACCTTTTCTAGCCTCACCCCTCCTTGTGGGAAGGCAGCATCGCTGTCATGCTGGTTGTCTGATTGAAACACCTTGTAGTGAACAAGAACACGGGTGGGGACAAACGGATGTATTTAGCACAACAATTACAGTCTATCTCAACAAAATCTGAATACCATAAAGTCAATCGTCAATTTGCAAAATATCAATGCATTATATCAAACTGGACTGTTTCCGTTGCAAACACTAATCCATTGTCTCCCATTCGATTGTACATGCGTTTTCTTACAAATTTCATTATGTTCTCGCTCCACCTTTCTTGATCTTCGCCATCTTTTGCTGCCAGACATTACGCACGTTATACACTACACAGTTGCCCACTTTCTTCACTTATCCTTAACTTTATCATGGAAATTATTTTATTGCTAACTCTGCTTTAGTCTAATCTCGATTATCTCTCTATCATAAGACTCATATATGGACTTGTAATACGTAGATAGTATGGTTTTGTTTAGCAAAAACGTCAACAAAATGCAGAATTTACTGAAACCCTTAAGGAACAATACACCCATATTCATGACGCGTTTCTCTCCTTTTAAATGACAAAAGTTCTCTCACTACTAGTTGTTATCAATTTATAGACTTGTCACAGAGAATAAAGTAGTTGAGCTCCTTGTCCACTTCACTTATTTCAAAGGCTTCATCAGCTTTGTTCGGTTGGTGCCTGGTGAAATCTCGGTTTCGATTTTGAAATCTCGATTATCTTTTGCAAACTTATGTCACTTAGCGTGGGCGAGGTGTCTATTTCCCTATTAAATAGGCGAGTACACTGCTCAGGAGTTCACTTTGTATTACTGAGTGTATGTGAAACATGACCTTTGAAGATATAAGACATATAGGCTACACGCTTTTTATCACAAGTGTCTTCGCAGCATTAATCGCATATCATGAAGCAATGAATTGGCCCATTGTGAGATTGGGCACAGCAAACTAGACAAAAATAGCAGATCAGTCGATGAGATTTTGTTTCATCTCTCTCATCATGATTAACGTTATAACTTGTGGTCTCGTGCCCTATTAATATATTATGTAGTGACACTGCCAATCAAAGAACAGTGATTTATCGACCATACCAATGACGCGTAAACCCATACGACCGGTCTACAGTTCTTATCGGTCCTTCTTCCTGCTTAATCCTACCTGTTGAGTCCAGAACACCAATCTCAGCCTCTGCGATATGAATAATGTATTTCAAACATACTGGGTTTATATACAAACCAAAGAGACCACATCGTACCATATTATGGTAAATAACACTTGTACAACATCTAGCCAAAAGTGGCTGTGAATGTGGGAGACTGTAGGTAATAGACTAGATATAACTCGATAATGGCAAATCGCATAATAATAGTCCATGGGTCGAAATAAAGCTGATAATAAGGAGAATATGAATATGCATATTTTAACTACTTAACAATTATGCAATAAAAATATATGTATAGTATTAGTCCATAAATGGATCCCAACAGTTAGTATTCATAATTCTCGTTAGGATATAACAATTGATACTACTATTATTTCTACCCCTCTACTATTCCTCTTGTTAATTCCATCTTACCATGTTCATTTAGTATGTGAAATTGAGTTACTGTACATTTATGCCGGACTATGTTGATTATGACTAACTGAAATACCAGAAAGTATGAAATGCAGTTCAAAAGCTGTGTAGAGATTATTTCACTATATTTAACCACATTTTGGAAACACAGACCATAAAAGATAGCCAGAAGAAGTTCATAATAATTTTTTAATATCGAGATAATTCATTCAATAAAATTGGAGATTTTTACTATGTTCATAAATCGGTAACTTCTGAGAACCATTTATTAACAAATATTATACGTATATTCTTATTTTATGACTATTCAGTAACTAGGTTATGTATATCTATACTCCTCTTATTACAAGCTTTATTTTGACCCATACGATTTACTGTTCTTAAGTCATGTTCAGTTAATTAATTACCGTCTCCCACGATCACAGCCACATTTTGGCTTGATCTTTTACAAATGTTATTTCCTATCTTATGGTATGATGTGATCTGTTTGGCTGGTATACAAACCAGGTATTTTTGAAGTAAATGACTTATAGTGGAAACTGTTATCGGTGTTCTGGACTCAAGTGGTCGGGCTAGGAGGACGCTAGGCTGCTCATACCAGTTGAACGTAATTGATTTGGCGCAGTGCTAAAATTGGATAAGTCGTACTCCGATTGGCGAGTAAGTCACGTGATATTTAACCGGCTTAAAGTCACAATACCTTCATCTATCTGTTCACCATTTCACTGTCTTATTTATGCGGTGCATATTTATTCTGACACTCATTTGTATCTTGAATTTATGTTTAAATAAAAAACCACTACATACTAATCTCGTTCACTTGTTCTCTCTAGTTTATTTGTTTTTGATTAAACTCCTCTTCCTTCCTTCCTTCCGCCGCTCTTCCTTCCTTCCTTCTTCCTTCCGCCGCTCTTCCTTCCTTCCTTCTTCCTTCCGCCGCTCTTCCTTCCTTCCTTCTTCCTTCCGCCGCTCTTCCTTCCTTCCTTCTTCCTTCCTCGATTTCTTCAAATTCTCACTTTATAATTTGTGTAGTGCATGTTTATTTTGATACCCAATTGTACTAACGATCTATAAGTTATACACACTTGATTTTTAAAGCATTCATCTAGAACAAGAAGAAAACAAAGCGGAATAATGGGTAAAATATGTACAATTTCATCATTCAGATGCATAGTGTAGATGATGATACTATTAAGGTGCTATAATGCAAGACATATCACAATCTATGAATCTCAATAAAAATGCCTAAATGGCACACTTTCACCGTAAAGCTGGCGTAAATCACCTATGATTGAGAGTTTTATATTTTCAATCTGTAAGTTATTATTATAATGAGCAGCCTTGTTTCTTATTCTATTTTCTTCAACTCATTGGTGGGTGCATAACGTTGGATTACATTCGTTGTGATTCCCTACTTTTTTGTTTTGAAGTATGTTTTGACGATTCTGAATCCATGAGAAAAGTGCATTTCATGCTCCATTGGACAACATGAGAGCAACTCCCTGTGAAGCATTTTCTTCTTCGTGAATAGGGTACAGCGGCATCTCTCCTGTACCTGACCTTTTCTATCCAGCTTGGATCCAATGGGTTTCACTGATTCCGAGCACCACCAAGTTGTATCACCTGTTTTCATAACTGTTTGACTGGTCTTTCCGGTTTCTCAAATTCTCCGGACATTCCATGTACCTATATGAGTTGTTGCTCTGGTTGTTAGAAGGGACATTGGCCTTGTGAATTCCGGAGAGTTTCGCCTTTCACCATTAGGCGTTATAATTCTAAATGAAGATCCTCCTACTACCAGGACTGAGCTTAACTTGTTTAAAATGTTTATTCTGGCTATCGTTTTTTAGCACGGTTGTTTTCTACGGGATGAGGTTGTTGACCTCTTGCCTAACCCTCCTCCTCTATCCGCGCTTCGGAACCTAGATAGGCTACAGGCGGAGTTATGTATGTGATATCTATCTGTTGTTCTGCCTGGGCAATATACTAATGACTGTTTCGTCAGTTCAATCTTTCATAATCCAACAATTTATGCTTAGAATTAAAACTTTATTTTTTGGTGGGCTTATCTTCCTGAAACTTTAGCATCAATCCATACTATATTCTGTCTTGTGTCTGTATACTCGAAAACACTGTACTTTTTAAATTTGGATTCTACATTTACTCACACACAGCTTTACATGTTAAAAATTCATTCTGAATCTTCGTTCTATTTTATGATTGTTTAATAGTTTGTGGACAATTTCGTGATATATCAGCTTTATCGTTTATGGAAGTACAACTCAATTTGGACTATCGACGAAAATGGGATGATAAGATTGTAGAATTGCAGTGTATTACACCGAATAACGATACACATATTAAAGATTTGGATATTATTCGTTGGGTTGTACGTTTTCCATTTCCTATGGTCAATCGAGAATATATTTACGTACGACGTTGGTGGATTCAACCTAATGAATTTTCTATGAATACCGAGAAATCACTTGCATTTCATAAAGATAATCCTTCAGAATCAATTCTTTTATCTCAAGACAGTACAACTCAGAACATTTCTACTAGACGCTATGCCTATCTAATTTCTCGATGCTCAGCAGATTTTAAAGAAAAATGTATCCAATCTTCTGATATTTTTTCAGTAAAGTCTTCATGGGAAAACATAAGAAAACGAGACCTTGTTCAAGTACATGAATATCATTCTGAGATGTTAATTGAGTCACATGGAGAATTCAATCAAGTAAGCACCATTTAGTTATTTGTATTATATATGTATAGTACAATCTCTAAATTATACTTGTTTTTGATTAACTCCACATACTGAGCGAAGGCTTATATATTATCTAGTTTTCAGTCACACTTTAGTTTATGTGAAGGCTTTCGGAATCGAAGTATATGGGGGTGGTTTATGAACCTTGAACCCACCGGTTAAAAATGAAGTGCTTTGACTATTAAGCCACCGGTTAATTTTAGGTATTTTTATTCAAATGAATCTGACGGTCAAAACAAAGCGTGCTTCAAGTATGCAACTAAATTATTATGATAAATCATGGTTATTGTTACACGATTATTGGGAAAAAATAAAACTATAAAGTGAATATATTTCTTTAATGTCTCGTAAATTATTTCACTTACTTCCTTTCTATTGAAATTTACTACGGTGTTTTTTTGTTGTTGTTGAAAACTTAAATAGAATGGACTTAATTACTATTTAATTTATTATGATGATCCGTGTCTTCCAATTAATGGATCACCAATAAAATTATTTTCTGTCAGAGGTTAGTTTATTTGTTAATTTCATTTTGTATATGCTTTTATTTAACCATTTATATTATCAGCTGATAGTTTGTTTTATATGTTTAACAACATTCAAGTATATATTGTTCGTCACCCTTTATCTTCCAAGTGTGTAGATGTAACAGAATGTTTGTAATCAAGATACACATTTTTGATCTGAATCACAATAGATAGTCGTTTCTACGTTATCTGTATCAATAGGACTAGAAGATCTTAAAAGATATAGATATATGAATGGTGATCGAACAGTATCAGAATGGTTGACGGGATCTAGGAGATGTACATTATTCTATTCGCTTTATCACAATCACTGATCCCTTTTTGATAAATACAGAGAAATCAGTTTGACTAATATAATTCCTAAATGTTAGTAATATTTAGTAACAAGTCCTTCAGATAGCCGTACAGATTTCATGATCTAGTTGTTAATACATAGATCCAAGTTTCACTCTTCCTTTAATCTTTATCATAATTACCGACGTCTACTGTAGTCTTGTCCCTTAACTCAATGGTATTAATCGGTGGTCGGTAAATCTTGTGAATGTATGTCTTTCTACAAGATTATGCGAATAATTTATACGAACTTACCGAAAGCTCTGTGCCCGAACATTTATGGTTCGGTTAGAGTATGTGGGGAAATGTCTTTTGGATTGCCTACATTATTTGCCCACTTCTAATATGTTTACTTGATTTTATCATATATATACTCTTGGAGGTGATATTTGTATTGTCTCACATTTTCTGGTATTGATCTCTTACACCGTGACAATCTCAATGTCTTAGAATAGACATGAAGCATAGTGCTATTAGCTGAAGACATTGACGAAATCCAGAACCTTTTAAAAGTTTCAAATGAAGATTATTACATTGAAAATGATCTGCATCAATAAATAGTCTAGTTAATAAAAGTAAGGCACTTAAACCTGTCGATCATTTCAATAATCCAAGATATCTAATCGGCTACGATAAGTTAATGGTTCTTGAAATCTGTGCAGCCAGTCAGTCATCTACAATGTAGAACTAGATACATATATGCATTGGTTCAAAGTTACCATACCTCATTAGCACAGCAAGATGAACATCAAATTCATAGAAGCAGTTACTTCACTTGTAATAAATAAAATTTTATATCAGGATATAATACATGGAGAAAGAATTAATTCGTAGAAAGAAAGGTATAAAGTAATTTTAATCTCACAGTTTAGGACAAAGAGTGTATACACCGATTCTGAGCTATTTCACCCAGAGTCTCCAACCATTAGTTAAGTTAGTCGCGCGAAACTCTACCAACATGGCTCAGACCAAAAGTTAGTGACTTTATGGATTGATGTCAAGTTTTATGCAAATTAAAGAAAAAACATTAAATACTAACTATAATACTTGTTATAAAATCTATAAAGTACTCTGAGGTTTTTCAGTAGTATTTTTATCGAACCAATCTATTGGTTTTATCCCTTTTAAAACGATTCTTATTTAAGCTTTAATTGGATAAAATATTTCTAAAATAAATTGAGTTATACAAATAAAATTCTTTTATATTATTTCTTATTATTGTTCAATTCTATTTTTGTTTTCTCCCAGCTATTGAAGAATTTATGACAAAACTTCATAAAGCTGCATTACAATTATGTCTTGTAGGCTTACCTATTGGTATTCCTCCCATAATATATGATAATAATAGTAATAATAATAATAACAATAATAATACTAATACTACTGATAGCAAAATAAAACTTAATCCAAATCCAGATCTATTCAATGCATCAAAGTTAATACCACCATCATCAATACCACCTACAACAAAGAAACAATTCAGTGGTAAAAAATTAAATTCCTATTTCTTCACTGATCGTCATCCTTCAGAATTGAATAATAATTACATTGATTCAACTGCAGCCGCCTTATCCTAGTAATAACAATTCCCTTATGTTTATTTGTTTTGTTCTGTTTAACAGTAGACTCTTCTTTTTTTCTAGCGAGAGAAATGTTTACTTCAATATTCCTTCTTTTTTCTCTTAAGTTAAGTATTTATAAATAAGACAGATGGCTGGTATGTTTATTACTACCATTAAGGCGAATACCATTTCATGCTCTCAATAAAAGGGACTTTCGCTTTATTTTTGAACATACGTACCGGTTATACACTTTGAAATGTGATTTTGATATAAACAGTTATAATCTTGTGATTGAAGCATATATGAGGTAGTCTCTATGTAGTGTTAGTTTTGTCATTTTGATCTACCCATCTTGTTTACTCAATTGTATCTAGACGCATAGAAATAGTTAGATGAATTGATGTATACATTGATATATATATATATATATATATATATATATATATATATATATATATATATATATATATATATAGAGAGAGAGAGAGAGAGAGAGAGCTAACATCAATGTATTCACTTTTCACGTTCCTTTTCTTTGTATATGCATATTCTGTAAATTATTTATTTATATAAAAGTATAATCACAATTGTGTATAGTGTTTAGAATAAGAAGTTAGTACTTAGTAATTTGTCTTTGTACTTTTCGTTGTTTTTATAACTGTTTCTTTCAATCAGTAAGTAGTAGTTGTTGTAGTGGGTAATTCGTTGATATTTAATGATACTAAAGATCTATTCAAAGAAAGTTATTCTCCTCTTAGGTTATCTATTCTTGTTAATCTATATAATTTTTGTGAAAATTTCATTTATTTGAACACACAAATAATGGTACGAGGGGGTACCAGATATATATGCGCCACATAATAACAATGAGAATGGGAAGATAAGAAGAATGTAAGGTGCATATAAGACAGAAGATAAGAAAAAGATAGAACAATTACTGTATGATAGTGTAATAATAATAGGGGAAATGGAAAGGTATAACCAAAAAGAATTTCAGTTAAGGAAGTTACAACCACTTTCTATGAAGAAAGTAAAAGAAGGTTACAGCAGGATCGCCACTGGCTTCTATTCTGAGCCATATCTGATAATGTCTCTAGACACTGTGTCTAGGCACTGTCTCTCGGACCCTAGCCAGGGAGTCGTGAAGAACCAACACAAGCCAGTCCTTTGCAGCTTTCTTTCATGCTACGACATCATATCGTACATTGACCACCTCTCCGCTTTTTCCAACCAGTCCCAGCGTCTGCAAATAATTCACGATGTGGGATTCTCTGAGACAACATTCGTAGAAGATGTCCAAGCCACCGAAGTCGATGTTTCAAGATGGTGACACCAATTAGATTATCGTCTCTGTGCCCGAACACACAATGCCGAACCTCTGCATTACTAACATACTGTTTTTTTGTGAAAAATTAAATGACAATAATTACTGAATATACTTCTCTCACTCCTATTATTTGTATTTAGTTAAATGTAGAATTTGATAAAACGCTGAATTGGTGTGGTGCTTGATGATGAAATTCTATTAAAAAATTAGTTTATTGACTGATTTTCAGATAAAATTGTCACTCTATTCATAGGTTGGTCAATTTATTTGTTTTAATAGATAGATGAAACTATGTTATTAAACTGATAATTGAGTGATTGTGTGAAGATAAATATTTATATTTAAAGAGTAATTTTTCTTAAAAAACAAAAATGTATAAACCAGTTGATGGGATATTAAAAACTGAATGGTTTTCTCTTTCTGGTTTGTGACTTTCTATAAGATTTATTCCAACGACTTAACATATAATGTCGAACCTAAAGATTTCCGTTTTTAATGCAGGTCAAAACATGGCCATTAAGAGTAGAAGACACTCGTAAGCTACTAGTATTTGACCACAGATGCCTTAGAAATATTGCTGGCGTCTGCTGGGATCACCGGGTAAGTAATAGTGAGGTTAGACTCAGAGTATTAGGTAATGATGGTAAATCAGTTGATGAGGTTATGAATCTTCATCGACTGAGATGGTTGGGCCACGTGTTACGTATGCCTGAACACCGATGACCACGACGTGCAACGCTATTCGGTATTGGAAATGGTTGGAAGAAAGTTAGGGGCGGCCAAACCAAAACGTGGCATCAGTGCTTGAAGTCACTAACTTCTAGTCTGAGCCATGTTGGTAGATGCAGACTACTTGGTTGGGGTGCGCGTGACTATCGTAACCAATGGTTGGAGACTCTTGGTGACATGGCTCAGAATCGATCACAATGGCGTCGGTGTATACACTCCCTGTCTTTCCTTAAACTAAGAGATTAAAAGCGCTTCATATCTTTCTACTAACCAATTCTTTCTTCTTGTACTATATCTCTATATGCAATCTTTCTCTTATATATTACCACCTTTTACCTAACCACTGTTATGAATCCGGTGTTCATCTTGTTGTGCTGATGCGGTATGGCAACCTGGACCGATGCATATATGTGTTTGGTCCTACGTTGTAGCTGACTGACTGACAAATATTTTTTTAATAATTGGGACTAAATTCATTAATGTACAGTTGGATGTCTGTGTATATTGTAAGTTATCTTTAAATTAAACAGTCACCATCAAACCATTCATGGAAATAATAATGTTGCACTCGTTTTTAGTGAACGGAACACGGGTGAGGACAATCGAATGTATTTAACACAAAATTACAGGACTTGTTAATCAAATCTAACAATCATAAAGTAAATGTTTAATTTGCGAAATGTTCACCAATTGTCTCAAAATGACTCAGACTTCATTGTTCCTGCATTTTTATACAAATTGCATTATGTTTTCATTCTTTACTGTTCGATCCTCTTGTCTCTCTGCTGCCAGACCTGTTCACAACTTACATTATATACTACTTATGTCAATATAAGGAGCACATATCGCAGTTATTTAGTAGTTTTGAGATGGGCGGCCCACAGTTCTTGTGGAATCAACCAAGTTTGCAAAATCCAACAATAACTCATAGATGATATTAGGTCTATGTGAAGGACAATGAAAGTTCTATGTTCGATTCATTATGAGTGCAAACTACTCGTTATTTTCATAGTAGAATGCAGTAACTTTTTAGTAGATCACAAATTTACTTAAGCCTTTGAAAAATTTATATGTTAGAAGTTAATTTTTCGCAATAAAATCCAAGGTATTCTACATAAGTTCCATTAAAAACAATGATTTTCTAACTTTCTATCAGAGCTTGGTGGAAACTCATTTCAATAGGAGCCTAATCTATTTCATATATTCTCTTTTACATGTAACTTGGGAATTAACTAGCAGTAGAATCTGAGATGCCCATTTCGCCTTATTTGTCACTTATCATCTGGAGTTACCTATATCGCAGTGTTAATGTGTACATTGGGTTTGAACCCAGTGCCTTTCGTTTCAAACACCAACTGGTTAACCACTGAACTACTAATTCCAGATTGTGGGAAAGGTTTGGATTTTGTGTAAGGACTTTTATATTTCCGTTATTGATGTTAAGGAACACAACTGATGAATTTTTCGATATTTTCTTTTTTGTTATTAACATCAATACTGAGTTTCAACTGACAAATTCCAAATAGGACGAAACGCTCGTCCTGGATTCTATTCTTCTCCATTAACCGACTTGAATAGACACTTGTGGTCAAATGGCAATATCGAGGCAATTTACTAACGATGCACATATAACACAAAAGACTGTTCAATTGTAATCTCTAACATTAGTAACAGGAATATACAAGCTTCTACATATATACAGACGTGTTGTTTAAGCATTGAAAGCAGTATACAGGGGACCGTAGATCTATGTTTCGTGCTATTTTGCACTCGTCAGCAAGGTGTATCTGTAATTTTAGTGCAGGCGATGTCGAGCCACTCGAACCAACGGGCACATTGCAATTTGATTGATAGATTTCGATCAACGCTAAGAATGATTTGAAAAACATGACATTAGTCACCACCCATTGGTCAATCAGTTGTAAATACAAATATGTTTTTTGAAGTAAATCACGAAAATTCATGCTCTATATGATGCGATATCGCTTATTTTATGTTAAATAAAAATATCTCTTTAAATGATCATATCACAATAAGTGGAAAGTTAGGTAATTTTACTTCGATGGGCCTAATAGACAGTCTAATGTATTTCTAAAACGTCAAATTTTAGCTCAATGATATATTTTGGTGCTTAATCTAAAAATTGAAGACTGAGAATTTTATTAGTTGGATTCATGAGTCTATATAAACTAGACCACCAGTGGAAACCTGGAAGCACTGAACGGCCGTTTCGTCCTATTGTGGGACTATTAAACTGTTAATTACCATGTGCTCACTAGTGACTAGCTTCATGAGAAAATTCTCGGAGTTCTGGTGAAAAGCCGTGACCAGTGGAGCTAATCCGTGTCGGGTAGAAACAGGTGTCTACCTCAGTACAATCGAAGATGGTGGCGCAACTTCGTGAATTGGTTGAGGTTAAACATTAACACCACTGGATACCGGCTCAGTAGTCCAGTAGGTTAAGTGTTCGCGCGCGAGACTGGTTCGAATCCCGGGATCGTGGATACGCACTTCTGAGGAGTCCCACAATAGAACGAAACGGCCGTCCAGTGCTTCCAGGTTTTCAATAGTGGTCTGACATCAATCGGTTCATGGTTTCAACTTAATAGTTGAACTCATGAGTCCTGAGTTCGAATCTCGCGAGGCGTGATCGTGGTTGCTCACTGCTAAGGAGTCTCATAATAAGATGAAACGGTCGTCCAATGCTTCCAGGTTTTCCATGATGGTCTAGATTCAATTGACTCATGAATTCTACTACTAAATGACAATTAAACAAAATATAATTCATTCATTCAAATCCATTTCTTAGTGGGAATTAGGATATGTTAAATGTATTCACTTTATTAGAAGGGATTTTTTTCTGGAGATTTTAGTAATTTAATAGTTGAATTCTTGAGTTAACTGAATCTAGACCACCGTGGAAAATCTGGAAGCATTGTTATTGAATATCAATAATAACGACAAGATATTCCATTGATCACTTTTCATGATAATAGATAGTCTTAATGATTTTACTTCTACGATTATTGTAAATGTTTTTACGTTTCGGAAAACTGATATTCAAATCGAATTATAATCTGAATTGAATTACTTCACAAGTTCCTGTAAATTGATAATTATCATCTTCAGTGTAGTATAAGCAAAGGAAATGACAATAGATATCTTTTTCTTATGATCACAATTGTATCTGTATTTAATTTTAAAAATGACAGGAAAGTTATTGAAGAATATTTTGTTATGTGTTTAGAAGTAGTTGATAGGAAATCCTGTTAAACTTAGGCTTCGTGCTAGTATTCATTCGTCAACAAGTCGTACCTGGAATCATGAGAGAACTAAGGCTTGTCAAATAAAACTATTGGCTACATTGTGAATCGATCGTTAATATTCAACGAACAAAGAAAAAAAAATAGACAAATATGGTATCAATCTGTATTCAATGATCTATCAGTTCTATTTTACTGTTTATTTAAATATATTTTTTGATTGTTTGTATTTTGAACATAATATCTCTTTTCTGTTTGTATAGCTCTATTTTGCTTTTATTGATTAAGTAGATTTTGAACAAAATCAA